CCATGGGGGAATGTCGTAGACGGAGCGGAGACCAAGGTTTTCAGTATCCTTTCCTGTCGTGTCAAGCCAGGTTTTCAGGTGCCCACCGTATCGATAGCGCCAGTTCAGGCAGGGAGGCGGTGCCAAAGCAGTTTTGGTCAGGTCGTTATCAAACTTACGAAGAATGAGACCAAACGATTGTAGTCGCTGCCGTTTCACTAGCGTCCGCAGCCACCCCCGGTCATAGGAATCTTCCAATCAGCCGATAGACAACAACTAATCAATCTTTTTCCTAGAGTTTAAAACATGCAGCGTCAAAACACAGGGTACAACTGAAGCACATCAGATGTGACGCGTTATGCCAATCGAGCAGAATGAGAATGGAAACCGGTTGGACAGACGCACCATGAGGCTCACTGCACGGAAAAGGGTCAAACATTGCTCTTGGACTTCAGATTTCAGATTTGGCAGTAGATGAAACCAAAGACCAGGTGTTCATCAATATACCATTGACACCACTTACTGAAGAATCGACTTTTGACAGTGGCAACAGAAATTGATGCGAAATTCTCAATGTTGGAGGGACTGCAGATCTAGCCCTCGGCGTCTGGCTATGGAGGAAACGAGGGGATTGGCTGGCGACTGGATACTGTGGCGAACACATTAAGCAGACTTTCATACGCTGATAGAGATGGACCGCAAATCCAGTTCCCTACAATTGGCTTTGTTCCGTCACACTATCGGTCCGGTTGTTCTGCGCGTCATAAATGGATTTACGTACATACTGGCAAGTGGAGATGGCGAAAAAGGAGCTGTACTGTTTTGCTGAATCTGGCGAGACTTATGAACGATTAACTTTCAACCAGAGGAAGCGGCAGAATGTCACTGACCGGTTCGTGCAATTTCTTTGCATGTCTAGAAGAAAGTCAAATAAGAGACCGAATCCTCGATGACGAAGAAAGAGAACACCCAAATACTACGCAGGAGGATGTTGAAATCAGTGCACAAGAACCGCAGCGATAAACATGAACGACGGGCAGGACAGTACAATCCCCATCCCGAACACGAAGTGGACGGGTGTACCAATGATGATCATAATGAAAGCTTTCAAAAGAAGAAGGATGTGTTGGAAAGTGTTGTTTGAACTGATCGTTTGTTTGACGGCATCAGTAGTGCTTTTTATAATTGGTCCATCTGAGACTTTAATTTTGCAAATCGGACAGTCCGATTGGTTTAGGCTTATATATAAACGCCTGTGATTCCCTTCCCAAATACGATTTGTGTCCGGTGCATATATATATCAAGAGCACTCCCCCTCACAATAGTGGGAGGAAGGCAACACTTCGTGTGTGTTTGGAATCTCAACCGCGAGATACGTCAGAAATTATTGTTCATCAAAACCGAACAGTGGAACTGAACTAAAAACATTAATAACGATAGCCACATTCACTGTGAGAGGCAGATTTTACAAAAAGCCATTCCTTAAAGGGACTGGTAATTTATGCATCTTCGTTGCTAAACCAATTTGTAGGGATCAGCTTAATATCACATCTAGCCTATGTATCTCATTACTCCAATTCTCGGAGCCCGTTTTGACGGTCCACATAAGTGAATAGATGTCAAAAGTGAGTAAGGTATTGTCTTAGTCTGATCACGGATAGTACGAAACGGCAGACACATTGCGATATTCAAAAAAAAACTACTGGACGTACCTGTACGTACAAATTACCATCTACCTGACCCAGATAGACAAGTCGGTCACGGGATGGACATTCGGGATCCCTGGATAATTGGACTGGCAGGCGAAACTTCGGGCCGAGCATGAAATCGCTGAGTGTCTTTTTCCGGTTGACCTCTTTGACCGTGGCTGATAAACGAGCTTGATCCGCACGCAAGTTTTCGGCCAAGAATCCTGCTCGAGTATCGTCTGAACAGAAAGCACAAAAATGGTATAAATAGCGAAGATAAGCGCGCGCCCCTCAGAAACGTGTCAATAGACTTTTCATTACTCGAGTAAAAATCTTTGAGAAACTAAAACGCGATGTTGGATGCGGTGGACAAACCAGACCAGGCAAAACAGAAGAGCCAGGAAACAAAAGTCGAAAAACAGCGCACGCGAAAGTGGAAGGGCTTTGAAAAAGACAATCGGTGTTGATGAAAATCTGTGATTTGAGACCACAGCAGCATGAAATGCACACAGCGAACAACGGCAAGTTGGCAATGAGTTAGCATCTTCTTTGTGTGTATGGAAAACCGGAGCTGTAAGAACGAACTCACCACGTTGGTGAGATTGTCCGTTAAGGAGCGGGGTGGCTGTTGAATATAACAGAAGTATATGAAATAAATTTACGCGTCTATCCATGTTACCAAAGGAGTGGTAGTGGGGAGGGGTGCTGCGAAAGTAACCATATACCGTCAAAACGTTTTGCGGTTCAATACATATGTCAAATGACTATTGTAGTGATTTATACATTACGTCGTCCTGCTGCAGAAACAGTTGCGGATAATAATTGTTCACAGAGGCTTGTTCATAAATTCTGTTTTGTTGTATTTGAGAATTTTGTAAGCAGATGTGCATGCCCATACATTTTAGTCCGAACGGGCAAAAATGCCAATTACAAGAGAAAGAAAAGAAGTTCAGGAGTAAGGAGCCAAAATGAGTCTGCTCGATCAATGCACAACACGTTCCATCAGGGTTCTCTAGGCCAAAGCAAGTGAATTTCCTTCGGGGGAATTCACAACCAGAGCATTTGACTAACCAAACCCTGACAGGCAAGGCAGCGAGGGCGGTGTCCTCTGGACGGAGTCAAACGTCCAAGGTGCCCAATACACCTGGATGCCAAATCGAGCCCGTGGCCACTGCCACAACGAGGAAGATGTGGGTGAGTGTGGTTCGTACGTACAAAGAATAAAAAAAATCCTTTTAGATTACCGCGGAAGAAACCACGGGAGTGGTATAGTGAAACCCCGACTTGTCTCAAGTCACAACTGTGAAACGGCAAATGGGAGAGAAACGTCTTCCATGGTGACTTTTAGGGGTAGAGTAGACCTGTTCGCGTTTTGGAGAGAGACGGCATAATGGTGAGTTTCTACTTAGGTGCACAATTTCGAAGGCGAACGGGTGTTTTTTACTAAAACACAGTCGAGAACAATTGTTTGCCTTCCAACTGCTGTATTTAAATGTTCCGACGACCTTGCTCGTGAGTACTAATTTGCCGGATTAGAACCAGACATAATACTGTTTATTACACGCTAAATATGCGCAATAACAGCCACATTCTTGCATTTCCATAGCGCCCGAAATTACCACAAATCTACATATTTGTTGGTTCAAATGGAGAACTCAACCTGGCTATATCAGAGCGTATGGAGACGTGGAAAATGTTGATTGTGACCGATAATGAAATTCCTCGTGTCTAGAAAATAAAATAGGATGAAGAAATATTTGCAATGCACAAGTTTGTCCCATAAAGTTTAACTAGGTGGAAGGAAAATTTGCATTAGGTATTGATGTATCCCCGTAAAGTCAAACAAATGCGCAAGCAGTGATTCAAGTAGTTATTCTATTTCCAGTATGCAAATGTAAACGTAGCTGGTCTGTAGGTCAGTGAGATCAGTGGTGCGTCAACACGCAGGTCGATAGGCACAGAACTGGCGCAAGCGTTGCCAAAAGGAGAAGGTCGTCACGCTGAGCAGTTAACGAACCAATCATTGCGGGCAGGTTAATACTGACCTCTGATTCGTTGAGGCAGATCAATCTTGGAAAAGAGTAAGTTCGCATGATGTGCGTACGTGTGTGGTGGCAGGCCGCAACGATCAATCATGTGATGTGCGGTAAACATTTCTCTCGACTGCAGGCCGCAACAGGTATCATATGCCCACCGATAAAGTGTTCGTCCCCGGTATAATGAAGCCAGTTAGTGGCTTAAATAACATCACAACGATCACAATGTCGGATTTTACAACCTGTTTCACATTCATATGTTTTCTGTTTGCGTACGATAATTAAGGTGTATCCCAGCTATGGACACGACGACGGCGGGAATCATTCTTAGGTCATTTGCATTTGCAAGTGAATTGCAGACGTGCAATCCACCCGCTTCGATCTTTTCCACCTTTCGGCAATCGCTTGGGGTGTTGCTTAGGAGAGCTAACAAGGTTTCGTTCTAGCTGCAACAAACGCATCATATGCAGCTCTTCCTCTCACAATTGAAAGCCCGAAACCCGCAAATCAATGTGAATCGATTAGGGCGAGACTTTTCCGATCAAGTGATTCCCATGTGAGAAAGTAGTCAGATGACCATCTGTCTGTCGCAGAGGCCAGCAAACACCAAAACGAGCCCTATTCGGGAATGATCACATGTCACATCAGAATTCCGTCTGCCCTCCCCCCCCCC